CCCCAAAACCCCAAAACCCCAAAACCCCAAAACCCCAATATTCGACAACCACATTGCTAAATTTGGGAATTATAGAACATGAATAACTTGATAAGAAAATTCGAATTTTCTGAGGTCCGATTCGAAGATTCGTAAATCTAGAATAACACCGTTTTATTAAATTCACAAGTGCCTTTTAGAAACGACTATTAAAAAATTCTGAGAGGTGAGCTCGGTTATTAAATTATTATTTAGAAGAATTAGAGTATTTATCAATAGCGATAAGAGTTTAATAGACAGTATATAAACCTAGCTGAGATTATTCATCCCTGATAGAACTGATGTAATCGCTTCTGGCCTTCATTTCAAGAAACACTTTTTCTTGAATATCTTGAGATGAAGAATCTGTCAACCAAGGATGGTTTAGAATGTTATCCATATCAATTCTAAAGAAGGGGTCCTCTGATAGCATCTTGCTTAAAAGATCTCTAGCATCATCAGATAAGAAATTGACCATGCCTTTTTCGTGTTTCTGGGGCTCATTAATGAGCTCCTCGGAAGACTCGGTTTCTACTGATAACTCATCAGAAAATTGTTTCTTGTCTGGAAACTCTCCTGTAAGGAGAAGATGCAAACAAACACCCAATGAGTATATATCTGAGAGTCTGCCGTTGATACTATCAGATTGCTTCATGTTGAGAACCTCTGGAGCCATGTAGTGGAGGGTTCCCCTTCTCTTGTCGGTGTATCCCATTGTATCAGAGACATCTACAAAAGTTCCTAGATCAGCAAGTTTCACATTGAAATAATCATCCAGCAAGATATTTTCTAACTTGATGTCCATATGTACGAAATTTTCATGGATGAATTTAACTGCCGATCACAGCTGAAGGATAATAAACTTGCTAATATCCTCCTCGAGAGGACCAGTTTGTCTTATTATACTAGACAAAGCACCATTTTGACATTTTTCCATTAACAAATAGTTGATTGAATGGACACCATCTGCAAGCTGAGCTCTTCCTTCGGTGTTATATCCCAGAATGTTCACCAAATTGGGATGCTGTCCAAGTTTGAGACTCAAAAAGTGCTCATTTTCAACGATCTTTTTAGACATCTCCTCTGAATATCCTTTATCTTTCCTGACAATCTTGATGGCGTACTCCTGTCCTTCATCGGAAATAGAGTTGTAAACTTTGGAAGAGCCACCAATGCCTAGTAATTCTTTGAGTTGGAAGGTATTATCAATCATTATTAATTATAAAATATTACATCCCAATTTAACTTCTTTGTATAGGGGTTTTGGGGTTTTGGGGTTTTGGGGTTTTGGGGTTTTGGGG